TTTGTTGACAGAAAGTGATCACAAGTAGGCAGAGAGGCAGGCAGAGTGAGAGAGGAGGAAGCAGGCTCCCAGTGGAGCAGAGAGCTCAATGTGGGGCTGGATCCCAAGACCCTGGGATCATGACCAGAGCTGAAGGCAGAGGCTTTAACCCATTTAGCCACCCACATGCTTCAATAAAACACTGGTTTTTAACATATGGATATGAGTATGTCATGAATTATGTGCTATTCTACGTCTAGTGTTCATCTATTTCATTGCAGGTTGTATGGAGCTGATCGAATCCATCACCTGTTTGGTACTAGAGTAAAACAATATACCTAGGACACCACTTTCCCAGTGCTCTGAAGGTTTAAGGGATATGTGATTATTTTTCCCCAGTCTATGCTATGATTTTCTCCTCTTTATAAATAGGATGATATTACTGTGTATTATGTGTATTACCAAGCCTTGTGACATAGAGGTATTGTTGGTGTTTTAGCTGATGTACTCCATGATACCGCTACTTGGCATTGATTTTGTATAGCCAGTAGTGTTGTCGGGGCCTTGTACTGACAGGAGCCCTTCTCACTAGTGCATTCCCCAGTCAGCACGCTGTAGGGTGAAAAGTTAGTGGAATGTGTCATATGATATCTGTACTCTATCCTAGTGAGCCACCATCACTCCTTTCTTCCAATGTCTTCCTTCCCATGTCCCATAGAGAAGATTCCTCCTCCCCCAGAGCTTCCCTAAATCTGTTTTAGTCAGAATGGCATATTCTGGACATAGACTTGGGACTCTAAAGTACTGTCCCATGGCCCCAAATGAAAGTATGTGCCCCACGTACTGCATTGAGGGTGGTTTTCATGTGTCTGTGGGGTACACATGCACATATGACCACGCTATGTATGTCATAGATAACCCCATAAGGAAGAGAAATATTTCCCAATTGGAGTGACGTGGTAGCCCATGAGGAGACAAAAAATATTAAAGAGGAGGAATTAGCATGTAAAGGATGACAACTGTGCTGAGTTTCCCAAGTGACTTCCTAGATGTAAAAAAAATAACTACTACTTGCTTTATGACCTACCTATCTCCAGATCTCCAGTTGTATTCACCCTCATTTTTCTTTCTAGCTACGTAGGAACCACAACCATTCTCTTTTGCCTGTGTTGTGGAGAGCATGTCTTCAGAAGATGCTTAATTGAGATTAGACCGATGGAAAGCCAGTGGGTATTAAGACATTTAGCACAGGGATGGGGGAATTCAATCTAAGTGAAATTTGAGGAAGGCACCATCCTTTGAGAGAAGGACAAGACCTATTAAAAGGAAATGTGAGGAACTCTTTTCCGTGTGGGGAGGGACCTGGAGGTGGCTCCCTTTAGTCACTGCAAAGGCACAGGCAGCTCTTGCTGGTGTCAGTTGATGAATACATGTCATGGGGAGAACAGATGGCTAATGTGGTTTTCTCAGGAGTGGGGAAGTTCTGCCTTATCCTGATGATTTGATTGACCTCCTGCGTCTTCCTGAGGACTAATGCTGTTGGAAGTCAGTGATGACTGTACTTTCCCTGACTAGATCCATGACAACGGATGGAGGAGGGTGTTTGATGATGCAATCATGTGGGCAGCTTTAAGATGTCACGTGGTAGAATAGATGTTTGAGATGAAGAAGCCTTCTGGACAGGGGAATAGGCTGGATCGGCTGGGCATGTGCTGTGGTTGCTCCCTCATTTCCCAGGTAGGTAACCCCCGTCAAGGTCAGATCCAGTGTGGTTGGGAGATCCTTCAGGGAAGCTACTTCACTGCTGTGCCAAACCTTCCTTTCTTCAGTGCCATCATGAATGTAGTACTAGGGGTGTCTAGGTGGCTCAGTCATTAAGTGTCTGCGTTAGGCTCAGGTCATGAGCCCTGCTTTGGGCTCCCTGCTCAGTCATGAATTGGTTTCTCTCTCTCCTCTGCCCATCACCACCCAGCATCACAAGTGCCTCTCTCATTCTCTCAAATAAAATATATTTCTTAGAGATTTTATTTATTTATTTGACAGAGAGGGAGTTCACTAGTAGGCAGAGTGAGAAGGGAAAGCTTGCTCCCTGTTGAGCAGAGAGCCTGACATGGGGCTCAATCCCAGGACCCTGAGATCATGAGACAAAGGCAGAAGCCGAACACTCTGAGACTCCCAGACACCCCAGCAGTTGATACAGATAGGGTTGCCTAGGGGCACCTGCGTGGCTCAGTGGGTTAAAGCCTCTGCCTTCGACTCAGGTCATGATCCCAGGGTCCTGAGATCAAGCCCAGCATGGGACTCTCTGCTTAGCAGTGAGCCTGCTCCCCACCCCCACCCCGCCTCTGCCTCTTGTGCCTACTGCTCTGCATAGTTGTGATCTCTCTCTCTGTCATATAATTAAACAAAATCTTAAAAAAAAAATTAAAAAAAAGACTTGCCTACCTAGAACAGACACATGAAAAAATGTTCATCATCATTAACCATAAGGGAGATTCAAATCAAAACCACATTGGGATACCACCTTACACCAGTTAGAATGGCCAAAATTAACAAGACAGGAAACTCCAATGGTTAGAGGATATGGAGAAAGGGGAACCCTCTTACACTGTTGGTGGGAACGCAGGTTGGTACAGCTACATTGGAAAACAGTGTGGAGATTTCTTGAGAAATTAGAAATAGAGCTTTCCTATGACCCTGCAATTGCACTCCTGGGTATATACCCCAAAGATACAGACATAGGGGAAAGAAGGGCCATCTGTACCCCAATGTTCATAGCAGCCATGGCTACAGTCACCAAAGTGCGCAAAGAGCCAAGACATGAATAGACAAAGAGGATGTGGTCCATATATATATATATATATATATATATATATATATATATATATACACACACACACACACACAGTGGTGTATACATTGTCCATATATACAATGGTCCATATATACAATGGTGTATTATGCCTCCATCAGAAAGGACGAATATCCAACTTTTGTATCAACATGGTCAGGATGGAGGAGATTATGCTGAGTGAACTAAGTCAAGCAGAGAGAGTCAATTATACGATTTCACTTATTTGTGGAGCATAAGGAATACCATGGAGGACATTGCATGACGCAGAGGAGAAGTTAGTCGGGGGGCATCAGAAGGGGAGATGAAGCATGAGAGACTGTGGTTTCTGAGAAACAAACTGAGGGTTTTGGAGGGGGTGGGTGGGAAGTTGGGTGAGCCTGGTGGTGGGTATTAAGGAGGGCACGTATTGCATCGAGCACTGGGTGTGGTGCATTAACAATGAATCTTCGAAAAGTGAAAAAAATAAATTAGAAAAAAAAAAGAGTGGTCAACCTGGAGGGACAAACATTGTTTCATAAATATATAGTCTTTCCTTTTTCCTCTGAATACAATACCCTCCTTGGAAATTCTAAATCCCACTCCTCCTACTTAAGTCACCGTGACGCAGAAGCCTCACCTTCTCTTTGAGCCTCATGTCTTTCTCATGCCCATACTTAAGAACTTGTTTTTTTGTGTGTGTGCATGAAACTGTCTGACGCCATTTAGAACAGCACAGGAAAAACAAATTTTCCTCTCCTCACATTCATTCTGTTGTGTGAACTGATCTCCAGGCTTCAGACCTGGAACAGAACGTGCAGACAGAGCTGGGGATCAAGGGCAGCCGGAGCTTCATTGCTTTGCCAGCCAAGGAGGCCTCAGTAGGTCAGGGCATGAAACCCGCAGCCCACCCAGAGGAAGGGGCTGGGTGTTTGTAGGAAAATACTGGATTATGTCCGAAATCCAGAGGATTCTATCTGTGCTGCCAGTGTTGTTAATCATGTTGTCGGGGTGGAACCAATTCCTGTAACAAAGGGCTGAGAAGTGAGGAGAAGAGGTTTGTGGACAAGAGAAAGGTTACTTATTTGGAAATGGAGTCTCACTGACGCATTAGTTGCTTTTTTCTTTGTTCAACCTGATGCTTTCCAAGTGGTTTTCATTTCAGTCAGCAAGACAAAGGTTGTAAGAAGACTGCATACTTTACAGTGAGAAACCACTCAGTGTCTTCTGGAATGGCTAAAATAAAGAAAAAGGATAGCATCCAATTTTCCTGAGAATGCTGAGAATTCGAATTCTCCTATATTGCTGACGGGAGGGTAAAAAGTAGACGGACTGTGGACAACTGTGTGGCAGGTCCTTATGAACAGAAACACCTACTGAAGGGGACTCTTTGTTACCCAAAAATATGTCTCCTTGGCCTGAGCATTATTTTCGGCTGGTTATTTTGAATCAAAGGCAGATAAAGGAAAAGCTCTGAAATCCTGTGTTACTTTGAAAGAGACATTTGCATTTATACAGGTAAGTTCAGTCTGTCAGGTATCTCCCTTTGTGTAGCAGAAAGAGGGAGACAGTGTCAGTCTCCCAAAATTCTGATTTTGGAGAAGGCAGGGCTCGAACTCTGCTCCAAGCCCCAGCCTTGGTTCCCCTGCTTGGCCTGGTCACCTCCCCAGTTCCTTCCCAGCAGGGTCACCTGTGGAGTTTCAGGAAGGATCTTCTCTGCGGGCCTCCCCCTCAGATTCTGTCAGTTGGTTTGGCCGAAAACAACACTGTTGTGTTAATTAAGGACTCCAGGAGATTCTTGGCAAGACTAGGGGGGGAGCCCGAGGGCTTTGGGCTTTCAGTGCCTGTCTGAGAGTGGATTTGTGGCGTTGGTCCTGGAGAGGTGACAGGGTCTCTGCTCCAGGAGTCTGGGAGGGTCGGGTCCATGCAGCCCTCAGCTCCGATGTTGACGCTGAAGTTGTGAGTGGCGGTGGCAGGGGACCCCTCCCTCCCCACAAAGCAGGTGAGGAAAATGCAGGGATGGGTGTCCTCACGGAGCTCACAGTTTCTGAGCTGCTCCGGACACAAAGGACTGGAAGTTGGGCCTTTTCTGCATCTTTGAGTCCTGCCCGCGGGCGAGCGGTGTGAGGAGAAGGAGGTCGGTTGCTTGATTTCTGGGCATTTTCTCCTGATGCAGCTGTGATTTCCCCCCAGATCCCTCGTGAGGACGAAATCTAGAGGTGGAGGCGAAGGCAGAAATGGCCAGTTCTCAGGTGAGCCTGGTGTCCCCGCGGAGCCGTGTCCTCTGTTTCTCCACAGACCCTCACGTTTAGAAGCTGCAGATGTAGATGCCTCGAATCTGGGTACTTCTCGCTTCTGTGTTCACCTATTTTTAAGATGTGGTCAGAAGTGATACTCACGGTTAGGTCTTTAGAATGCTTCTCTATGTCCCAGAGCCTTCTGTCCTGTGTCCCCAACCTGGCTTCGATAGTGCATCAGCCGTTGTCACTTAAAGTCCCACGAGGAGTGACACTATTCCGTCGGTGGCAGATCCGGAGGGGAAGGTGTCGAGTCTGAGATTCCTGTGGCTGATGAGGTCTGGTCCTGGGATATCAGGGAGGGAAATCATTTCTCATTCGGGCTCCTTTGGATTCTCAATCAGCTGTGTGCAGCTGGGGAGTAAGGAAATGCAGACATAAACTTGATGAGTAGGAGTCCACAAAACTTGGAAACTTCTCATTCTAAGAAAGGGGGTGTGCGTGTCTTCATCTTTAGTAGGTGAAAGAGATATTCTACTTAAAGTCCACTAGAGGAGGGTGCCTGGGGGCTCAGTCAACTAAGGTTGGACTGTTGATTGCAGCTCAGGTCGGGATCCCAGGGTCCTGAACTGGTATCTCCACTTCTGGCTCTGTGCCCAGAGGGGAGTCCATTTAAAGATTCTCTCCTTCTCCTGCCCTTCCCCGTCTCCTCTAAAATACAAATCAGTCTTGGGGATCGAGGGTGGTTCAGTTGGTTAAGAGTCTGCTTTCTGCCTCCAGCTCAGGTCGTGATCTTGGGGACCTGAGATTCAGCCCCACATCGGGCTCCCAGGTGGGCAAGGATCCTGCTTCTTCCTCTCCCTCTGATTTTCTGCCTGTTTGTGGTCTCTCTCTCACTCTCTGAAATAAATACAATAATTTTTTCAAAATTTTAGTTACTGTGGCACCTGGGTGGCTCAGTGGGTTAAGCCTCTGCCTCCACCTTAGGTCATGATCAGGGTCTTGGGGTCCAGCCCCACATCGGGCTCCCAGGTGGGCAGGGATCCTGCTTCTCCCTCTCCTTCTCCTGTTCTGCCTGCTTGTGCTCTCTCACTTGCTTTCTTTGAAATAAATAGAGTCTTTGTAAAAAAAAATTTTCTTTATTTGTAAGAAAAAGAGTGAGCACAAGTAGGGTGTGTTATGGGCAGAGGTAGAAGGCTCCCCACTGAGCAAAGACACTCCCCCACCGCCCCAGTGTAGGAGGCATTCCCAGGACCTTGTGTCTTGGCCTGAGCAGAGGGCTAATGCCCACTGACTGAGCCACCCAGTTGCCCCTATAAATATAATCTTTTTTTTTTTATAAAATTTTATTTATTTGACAGATGGAGATCACAAGTAGGCAGAGAAGCAAGCAGAGAGAGAGGAGGAAGAAGGCTCCCTGCTGAGCAGATAGCCCCATGCGGGGCTGGATCCCAGGACTCTGGGATCATGACCTGAGCCGAAGGCAGAGGCTTTAAATCACTGAGCCACCCAGGCACCCCTATAAATATAATCTTTAAAGAAGATGAAAATAAAAATAAATCTTAAAAATTCAAAGAAAAGAAAGGAGTAAACTAGCTATTTCTAGCACAGGGACGCTATGCTGTTTCAGTGTAGTGTCTCTCTCAGTTGCTTGGGGCCCAGACGAGTGTCCATGATTAGCTGGAAGTTCGTCCAGCAGCACTGCCGGAATTCCCCTGCAGCAGGGCAGAGGTGGTGGAAGTTTCCTGAAGACCTAAGAGATCAGTAGGCAGGGGGCACAGGAGAGCTTGTCTGCAAGGGGCAGTGTGTGGGGGTTTCTTTTCAGGAGAAGGAAGGTGAGGAGTTCTGGGGACCCTGTGTAACTTACTCACTTCTGCGCACTGTACCTGGTTGTCAGAAACCCATTGGTTTCTTAGGGTCTTGGTAGTTTTGAGGTGGGTCCCCTGCTGGGCCTGTCTGGACTCAGCCGTGATCACTGGGGCCCTTCCTCCATTCCTTTGCTCAAGCCTCCTTGCCTAAAAGCAGCCTCTACAGATCGTATAGTGATTCAGTTGTTTAGGTATAGCTACTGTATTTCCAAAATCAGATTTATATTCTGAAATCCTGTTTTCAGTCCAGTGGAAATACCAGTGATGATGTGTCCTTTGATGTGCATTAGGCGCTGATAACATTTGTTTCCATTCACCTGATGGGAACTTCTTTTATTGGCTTGGTGCTGTCTGCCAGATTTTCCCATCATGTACCTATTTTCCCTCCTAATATTTGTAAGGAACATAGGATACTGAGGAATATGCAGGAACTGTCGCATTTCTGATGTAAACTATTTCTTCTGTATTTAGCTTGTTGTAGGTTCATTCTTTCACTTTCCTTCCTTCCTTCTTTTAAATGTTTTCTCATCTGAGAGTGCACTTGAGAGTGATGAAAGGGAAAAAGGGAGAAGCAGATTCCCGCTGAGTGGGGAGTTCAGCTCAGGGCTCTATCCCAGGAGTTTGAGATCATGACCTGAGCTGAAGGCAGACCCTTAACCAGCTGAACTATCTGGGTCCCCCTTGCTTGTAGTTTCTGAGGAGGAGAACAAAATCAGAAGAGGTGTGGATAAAATTAATTGTCCTTCAACTTCTAGTCTGTTGGTAAATACCTGAGAAAGGCAGAGTAGGACATTCCTCAGGGAACTCACAACTGCCTCAAGGTTAATGTTTTGTTGGATGCAAAAAGCAGCCTTAGCCTAACAATAGACCTCCAGGATCCTGTAATTCCTCTTTAACATATGAAAATTGCTTTGAAAACTTGAACTCCATTCCTCAAATGTAGCTCAGGCACCATCCTTCAAGCTTGGCGCCCATTGATAGATATCTGGAGGGTCTCCAGACTAAAGTGTTAACTAACTAGTGAGTGGCCTCATCAAAACACCAGCTGGCCCCTGAGGGTCCTGGAAACTTGCTTCCAAATTCCTTAGAGCCTCCTGCTATCCCTCACCTCCTCCCCACCTGAAAGCATAGAATCAGTCCTGCTTACAGTCCTCTCCAATTCCATTAGGACCACAGTGTTTTTTACCATGGCTATCTCAACAATCCTTTCTTCATCATTCACTCCAGAACCCCAATATTTCAGATCAAAACATGTCTAGAATACCTTGACCATTGGCTCCTCTCCCACATCCCAACACTTTGCACTGGACAAGGAGGGCTGTCACCTCTGTGTAGTGGATAGAGTTGACTTCTGGGAGTGAAAGTCTCAACCTGGCAGCCCTCTGCCCCATAGGTTTTTCGTTAACTGCACACCCATCTCCGGGAGAAGGAAAGGTCGGATCTGGTTCTAGCTGGTGACATTAACTCCAACTTTCATCTTAGGATACATCGTGAACTGTGTCAGTGGCCACTTGGTGACTGTGGTGTTTATTACAGGGACTGCTGACCTTCAGGGATGTGGCCATAGAATTCTCTGAGGAGGAGTGGGGACTCCTGACCCATACTCAGCGGCAACTGTACAGGGATGTGATGTTGGAGAGCTATGGACACCTCCTCTTCTTGGGTGAGGAAGATTCCTTCCACATTTCCCAAAGCCCACTCAGGGTTTTATTCCTTCCTGTGAAGACTGTCTTTTCAGATATTTCTCTTGGAATGACTAGAATTCAGATCCAGGCAGAAAGGGAAATAAGTAGTGCTTTGTAGATGGAGAGAAAAATCTTCATGGTGTTTCCTTCTCAGCCTTAGTTTCTCCTTCCTCAAGCAAACATCGTTGCTTGTGTAAATGAGTGGCAGTTCTCAACCTTTAGTGACATAAATGGTGCTTCTCACATCTTAAACTGAAATTTCCCCTTCTTATTATGTCTACTACTTGGAAGTGTAGGTCAGGATGTGAACAATGGAAATTTCTCTTGTGTATTCTTTCCTTTTTTTTTTTTTTTAAGACATTATTTACTTATTTGACAGAGAAGGATAACAGGTAGGCAGAGAAGCAGGCAGCGGGGGGGTGGGGGGTGGGAGTAGGCTCCCCACCAAGCAGAGAGGCTGATGTGGGGCTTGATCCCAGGACCCTGAGATCATGACCTAACCCAAAGGATGAGGCTTATCACCCTGAGCCACCCAGGTGCCCCGCCTCCTGTGTTTTCTAAAGGGACTGTTGGGGAACAGCTTTTGGGAAACCATTTTCCAGGATTGTACAGTATCGTCTCTTCTCTCCTGAACACAAGACTGATGGGAAGTTAGAATTGGCAGCAAGAGTCGTTATCCTTTTTCCTCATAAACAGGTCTCCTTCTGTCAAAGCCAGACCTGATCATGTTTTTGGAGCAAGAGAAGCACCTCTGGGATGTGAAGAGAAAGGAGACCAGAGGCTTCCATTCAGGTAGGTAGGAACGAATGAGGCAGATGACAGAGGGGAGGTCCAAGTCTGAAGGAGGAAGGAAATCCTTGTGTTCAGTAATGCAGTGTTGCTTCATGGGAAATTAATCATGAGCTTTTTCTTCTACTTTCCTCAGAATGTATCAGAATTTAATCCCAAATATTAATTTCATATACAGAGTCTCTCCACATATTTTCAACATCTATGATGTTTATTTATTCAGAAATGAAGATGTTGTTTGTTTCCTCTGTCTTAACCGAATGGACTATAGGGTTACATTCTGTGGAGGAGAATGAATATATTAATACCATAATACACATCTTTCAAGCTTTTTAAGTGTTCATAAAGTTTTCATTTATAACTGTTTATGATTGATTTTAATGAGAATTCTTCACAATATTATAGTCCATGAAGACATGCCAATCAGTTGCTTGTTTTTCATGGGCACATGGACACAGTTCAAAATTATGGTAATATAGAAGTTTTCCTTTTCTGTCATACATCAGTGTTTTATTTAGAATTTCACGAGTTCAGTTTTCTCTTATTCTGGTTTGGTAATTTCCTAAGAATGTGCTTCCTTGTCTGGCTCATTCCACGACATTAGTTAGGTGTGGGTTGGGTGTTATCTGTGCAGGTTGTTACAGGAAGAGAATTTTCAGTTCAGTATATTTCGGCATATTTCAAGACCATGTGAGGATAACAAAAAAGAATGAGCTTTATGCTTTTTGTCGGTAAATTATGTGTGTTTTTGTCTTGTATTTGTATGTTGCACATATATACTGTGTCACCCTTACTTTTTGTCTCCTTGGTGAGTGGTCAGTGAATGTTGTACCATGTCTAGGTGAGTTGTCATCCATATAGAATTAATTTCTTCATGTATTTGTGGGTGAATTTTTATTCTCTGCATGAGAGAAAGACTTTTTTGAATTCAGAGTAATTTTCAAATATTTTATACTTCTGTATCATATTTTGGTATGAAATACAAAAGATACACTTTATCTAATTAATTGTAGGATTAATACCCATGATATGTCTTGGTACCTTTGTCGTTGAGTTATGCGTCTTCTATGAGTATTTTCATTGTGGTTACCTTAGGGATTCGTTAAAACAACTTAGCTGTAAAACGAACCTTTTGTTTTTATTTTTATTTTTTAATAGATTTTATTTACTTATTTGACAGAGAGGTCACAAGTGCAGAGAGGTAGTCAGGGAGAGAGGGGGGAAGCAGGCTCCCCGCTGAGCAGAGAGCCTGGGGTGGGTCTCGATTCCAGGACCCTGAGATCCTGAACTGAACCGAAGGCAGAGGCTCAACTGACTGAACCACCCAGGTGCCCTGAAACAAACCTTTTTAAAAACTCAGTGTCAATTATATAGATAACTTCTTCCTGTCTCCACCCCTGCACACCCTCCCGAATTTGTTACCGACATCACAAATTCTTTTATGTTGTATACTTTATGACCTACGCTTGTAGGTCATATAGATTTTTATTCTTTTTTTTTTTTTTCCAAAACAAAGCTCTGTAGCAGAAATAAACGTGACTGGTATCTCATTACAACACAGCAGGTTTGTGTAATTGTCTACATATTTATGTTCAGCGGAGAGCTCTGTGTTCTCATGTGGTTGCAGTTTCTGGGTAAAATCCTTTTATGTCATCTAGAAAGACTTCCTTTAATGGTTCTTGTGGGACAGATCTACTGGTAAGCTTAGACGGGTTTTTACTTGGGAATGTCTTCGTTTCTGCCTCTGTGGAAAAGAATTTTGCTCGGTAAAGTATTGTTGGTGACTATTTTTTAATCTTTGAGTACCTGAGTATGTTATGCTGGGCCCATTCCTTTTCAGACTGCTGAGAACCCTACTAGTGATATTGTAGGAGCTCTTGCACAAGATGAAGTGGATTTGCCATTGTGTTTCTTTTTAGATTTATTTATTTGACAGAGAGAGATCACAAGTAGTTGAAAAGGCAGGTAGGGAGGGGAAGCAGGCTCCCTGGTGAGCAGAGAGCTGGATTTGGGGCTCCATCCCAGGACCCTGAGATCATGACCTGAGCCAAAGGCAGGGGCTTAACCCACTGAGCCACCCAGGCATCCCTGTCATTGTGTTTCAAAAGTCTCTCTTCATCTGTGGTGTTTGATGGGTTAACTATAACATGTCATGAGTCGTCCCATTCTTTGTATGTGGTCTGCTGTATATACCATAGTTTTATAAGGAAGTAATTTGAAGAAATTAAATATGAAAGCAATCATAATGAAAAGACATTTACTGTAGTGCACTGGATTTATCAAGCAAACTTCTCTGTGTCTAACTGGAACTTTATTCATGAAAAGGACATTATTCAATGGTTAACTGTGTTTGTTAGCAGACCTGTAAGGATTCAGGGGCAGATGGATCTCTAGAGAGGGACAGTTATTTTCAGTGTGATTCCTTTTTTCCTTTGACTCTATTTTGTATATGCAGATGAGTTTCCAAAGAAAGCCGGAGTAGCGGAAGTTTTCGTCAGATAAACTAGCCTTTTATCTTTTGTTTATACTGCTTTGATAACAGGGTACTGCTGACCTCACAGAATGGTTTTGAGTATATTTCTCCATTTCAAAATTATAAGATTTTCTTTATTGCTATGATTTTGATAAGGATTGTCATGAATGGTTTTTGTAAATGTTAGTTTCTTTTTCTTGTCCTGAACCATGGCTCACCATCTAATACCCAGGGTTCTACCTAACGATCGCTAATTGAACAAAGTCACTACAAATATAATGATAAGCCACAGCTACACAATTCTCAAGGACTGTCGATCAAATTTTACACTGTATGTTTCTCCTGTTGTTTTGTGAGCATAGAGAGCACAAGGAGAGTTTTAGGGTTTTGATCTGTACAGAATGCAATGTGTCATATTAAGCTAAAGACAGATTTTGAAGTCCCAGAACTAAGTAGGAAGAAGCACGTGTACATACTTACGTGTGTGTACCTATATCTTCAGAAGGAAAAGGAATCTTGGTTCAAACCAGGTCATTTCCAAGTTTGAAAACTGATGATTTCCTAGCAAGTAAAGAGATTCTGGATTCATAATAGAAATAGTTTTATCTGTATTGTATTGAAATTATGCTTACTACATCTCATGTATCTTAATTTGATAATCTCCCCCATGTGAATTGTCTCTTACATAACTAGGTTTTACTCCTGTAGGATCTACTCTGTTTTCCTTATTCCTGTGTTGACCTATTGCTTACCTACCTTAATAGAGATTTTAACAAGAGTTTCCATGGAATGACATGGTATTCAACATTTAATTTAAATGTGAGAGTAATTCTCAAGGGGGCATTATAAATTCCTTTAGTTAAATTGAGACATCACTCCTTCCTTTGTGATTGGAGAAGTAAGAGTTCCTTAGTCGTTATTCTTTTCCCTTCTAGGAAGTGATGTCATCCATGTTGGTCACTTCAGTGTCCGCACTTATTAGGTAAAAACATGGAGACTTCATGCATCATGGTATTTGTTTTTGTTTTTCTTTTCTTTTCTTTCCTTTTCTTTTTCTTTTTCTTTTTTTTTAACATTTACTTGAAGGAAACAAAGATGGAACAGGGCTGGGTGCTGACTGGTTGTTCTAACTTAAACAGAACACAGTGTTCTGTAAGGAGTGATGAGGCAGCCCAATGGAAGAGCTGAAACAGATATAGGCTGAAACATTGACCTGAATTCTTCATCTGGGGAGAGGACCCCTGTCTAAGGCTACACCACTGACTCTGAATCTAGAAAGAAAAATTGTACTTCCTTTCTTCCCAAATCCTGTCCAGTTCTTGTGTTTCATCTCTATTTCAGTGATGGAAGCATCACAGCTGACTTTCCCTCCTGTGTTCTGGAAACCTCTTTGTCACTGTACTCCCCCTCCCACCTAAGCCAGGCAGGCCCTTGCCTACCCTTAGGAGTAGCTTGGAGTTTTCTAGTGCCATTGTAAATAGTTGATAACAGGATCATGTGAGGCTTATGTGGGTATTAAATACAATGTTGTCACCACTGCACTGGAAGAGAAGCAAAAATCCATCACTGGGCCACAGGATTAGTTTAGGCATTTGGCACTGGAAGTTGTGAGGACAAATAAAACATGATGTTGTGACAGTTTGAGAGGAAGGTAAGTGCTATGGAAATGAAATATGGTAAACTCTTGAAATGTGAACAAAGATGTGGTAGAGAGGTCCCTTTGGTCACTGCAAGGCCTTAGGAAGCTATTCATGATGAGACAGAGAAGCGTTCCTGGGAAATGTGGCTGTCTGGGACGTGTGAAGCTTTTCTCATGATGTAATGTATTCCCTGCTGGTCCTGAGGACCAGTTGCTATTGGATGACAGAGATAATTGTACTCTTTGAGGCACAGATGCATGGAGTGTGGGTATTAGTTGATTTAAACATGGTGGGCATAGCTTAAAAGATGTCACATGACAGAGTAGATGTTGAAGACGAAGAAGGCTACTGGACACTAAGAGTGAGAACCAGCCAGGTGTGTATTGCGGTTCCACAAAGCATTGGTATCCCAGGAATATAACCCAACATAGGTCTGATCCAGGGTAGATGGGTGACCTTGCAAGCATGAGGACCTGTGGTTGGCAGTCCCTCCCTCACTTCCACTCAGCCCTGGGGTGAATCTATCCTGTGCTCTGATCCATGTGCAAGGCACTGATTCATTGAGAAGTCAGTCACCAATTACTAGCAGTGATGATTTCTGCTTCAGACAGTCTTCCCAACATTTGGGGTAGCTGTCCCTATTTTGTTTCAGAGCCCAAGCTATCCCTACACCCCTCTTGACCTGACTGAAAAGAGGATTTGTATGAGTTGTAGAGACAGGTAACATTCAAGTTGGGTAGCATGGTATGCTCATATTGAACATGGGATCAGTTGAAGGATAATACATTTTTCAGTACCTGTTCTGCTGTGGTCAGCAATACCATGAGAGCCTGTTGTGTACATGCAGAAAAGAAGGTGGATATTTAGATATTTATATATCCAGTGAGTTGGTAGATGCTCAGGTCTTCTGAAATAGCCCAGACAACCTCAAGTATAACCTGATTTTTACATGTCTTCTTTCTGGGATTGTCCACCCCCAGCCATGTGCTTATACTTGAATTTTCTTGGCCCCAGGATAACTGCCCAGCACCAGAGAGCAATCCATGTTTCTTGCAGCAAAGGAGACAGTGTAAATCTCATGGGACATAGGGAATTTGATTTGAACCATTTCTGTTCTCATTCAAGGAAAGCCTTCCTCCCCAAGGCAGCACTCTCTCTACGCCATTGACCAGAACTGTCACAGGGGCCAGTCTATGCTGAAACACATAACTGTAGCAGAGGTGGATGTGGAAGATGTTTTTGAATGTCTCTTCTTTGAATTCTTTCACAGTGTCTGGCACAAAGGCAGTGACACTTTGCCCTGAAACTAACTAGCTGTTTCAAGGAAGCCCTAAAATTGAGAGTGTCCTTCAAGTTAGTGCATGCGGATTTTCCACCACCTGCACTGGCATCCTGATGAAAAGCTGGTTAAGCCTGCAATTGTTTATGATCTTCCAATAAAAATAGTCAAATACAGATTTATTGTGAGAATGCTATATTCAATACTATATAATCCATAACATATATTAATGTCTTCCATGCATTTCTTAACTTAAAAAAGTATTTACATAAGTTCCAGATCAGTTTAAAATAAAGAAAAGATCTATTCATTTATTTTACAGAAAGCTCAGGTGAGAGGCAGGGGCGGGGCAGAGGGAAAGGGAGAGAGAATCTCAAAGTGACTCCCTAGTGAGTTTGAAGCCTGACACAGGGCTCAATCTCAGGACCCTGAGACTGAGATCATGACCTGATCTGAAATGAAGAGTTGGAAGTTTAACCCACTAAGCACCCAGGAGCCCCAGTTTGTTTGTTTGTTTTTAAAGAATCATTTACTTTAGAGCACACTAGTGAGTAGAGTGAAGACACAGAGAGAGAGAATCCTGAAGCCGATTCACTGCTGATGGGAGAGCTGATGACGTGATTGAACACAGGACCCTGACATCATGAACTGAGCTGTAACAAAGAGTGGCCATTTAACCAACTGAGCCACCCCCAGAACCCTTGTTCCCATTCACCTAAATTTGGATTGCTTTCATTCAGGAACGTGAACTAAGGTGTCTCTGGGGTGATCTCAGCTCAGTGCCTGGGCAGTGCTGATGGCTTGGTTTTCTCCCCAGAAGCCTGTAAGAGAGGCTCTGAGGTTGTCTAGGGTCTCTGTTCAGGCTTCTAATGGTGCAGGAATGGAGGCTAGCATCAGCCATGGGTAGTGACTTAGAACGTGCATAGCTACCCAGACAGAGAACAGAGAATGTTCTAGTTCAAAGCATTGGCTGGACACCCAAGTCAGTCACAGGTGCTGACAGTTCTCCTTAGTCAGGTAGGTTCATCTACACAGGAGAATAGGCAATCAGTGGACATTGTGTGTAATGGAGTCCCACCCACACTGACAGCTTTTGGGTGAAAGATTTCTACCATGACTTTGGATGAATGCTACTTTGTTAGGTTCACAGAGTAGCCAGGAATGTGTCTTTGGTGCTACAGTGTGCATCTTGGGTATCTTCCAGACCTTTGAAGTTGGCCCTATGGCCAATGGTTGGAAGATCTTAAAGTCAGACCTTCCAGGTACATTGACTTTGGGGTTTATCATGCATGTGACTGTACAGCAGTGCCAGGTGAGCAGCAAAAGATCACGAAGGAAAATGTATCTGTACTGTGGTGGATATCTGAGCCAAATCATACATGTGCCTTATACAGTATTGTCACTCTTCCTTGAAGTCATGTGGTGACCTCGTGATCTGTGTGAGCATTTCCTTGATTGATGTTTTAGTTATAATGGTCATTCCACTCATATTTGCATATAAGAAGGCTTGATAGTGTAGTGATAGCATCTTGATCTTGGGTCGAGGACAGATGAGTTTATTGTACAGGAAAAAAAAAACATATTGTACATGTTAGAGATACATGAGAGTGATTTCTGCTACACCGTGACCATATCACATAATTATCTATTTGGATATATGGTCAATACATTGTGTGCCATGTTATGTATCTATGGAGAAATGAGGTCCTGAAGACTCCTTGTCAGCCATCTTTCTGACATTGTCTGAGTGACTTGATGCTTCTGTATTAGAAGTCTTCAGTATATTCTTCTGAATGTATTAAGT